ATATCAGCCCACCGACCGGCTGCTCGGGCTCTGATTTCTAGAACACTTCCAAGAAAAATCTGGCTGTGATGTTAAAAAGCAAAGACATTATCCATCCAGTTCCAGGAACAGCTTCTTCATCAGTTTAGCATGGGATCTGATTTTGCAAATCTAATATAGAGAGACACGCTTAGATCTTGTGATGAAGAGGAGGCTCTTTGTTTGCACAGCGCGCTCATCAACAAAACTTGTTTTGGCCACGACTCGATCTGCAAATATTTCTTCAGGAAAGCAAAGCGGTAGGCAGTTATTCTAAGATGAAAAACTAACTTTGTTAAAATTGCCCCCATCACACACTGAACTGAAACACGTTGTGTACACGTTGTGCGTACTGACCGATGTCTGGAAGCAGCAGTACAGCTGTGTGAGGTAGGGGTGGCAGCGCGCCAGCGACAGCACCCTCTTCTCCGTCATGGTGCACTCGACGTCATCGTCCTGCAAGATGATGTCCTTCTTCAACACCTTCACCGCGAAAACCCGTTCTCTGCTGTTTAGTCTCGCCAGCATCACCTGCAGACACGACACGCACCATTTAGAGAAGCAGGAACAGCGCGTGGACGTGCAGGAATCAGGTTGGCTTTTGGCATTAGAAGTGGAGTCTGTGATTCTGGACAGAGTGCACTGTCTCGGTTCTGTTTACAAGCTTGAAACGCAGCGGAACAGCGTTATGTGCATCCGTCTGAGCCACTTTGTTTCACATTTACACACTAACATCAGATTTTAACTGATTTGGTGAAGACAGAATAGACAGCTAGCAGACTGTGAGAAGATCTTCACTGAATTTGTCAAAAAAAAACTGTACTAGATTAGAATGTTTACCTTTAATTGCTAAAAAGAAAATTGAAACTAATACCACATAAACAACTACTGAACGCACTCACTAACAACCACAGCGCTGGTGGAAAACATAAGAGAACACTTGGATTTTAGTGGCTTCTTTGACAGCAACGGGGAATTTAATTTACACCTGTTTGGTTTCTGAAAGCAGGGTAAGATCTGATTGAACCAATCAAACGCTACCTAGCCATGTTTTGAGATTTTAAGAAGGCATTTGATGCAGTTAATCACAACATTTTACCTTCTAAGCTGCTTAAATTTAATGCAATCCTGCTTCAGTGAGAAGAATGGGTGATTAACATTTTCCAGTTGCTAGTCGTACAGCAGGGGTTCCTCAGGGGTCGACTTTACGACCAATTTCATTTACTATTCATATTATTGATAATGATTAATCAGGTCTAGACTCTGATCAAGTCAATCCAAAGAAGGTTTTTGTGTGTGTTTGAAGCCCCTCTGTGGTTGATCAGTGTTCATCCTGCTGCATCAGCTTCTCCTGAGCTTCAGCTGCTGGATTATCACATTAGTATTAATCTGTAAAACACCACGATGAACTTGGGGATTCATTTTCCTCCTTGATAACTTCAAACTGTCCAGCTCCTGAGGCAGCAAAGCAGCCTTAAACTATTATGGTCCCTCAACCACACCTCACCTCTGAGTTGATCCTGAAATATTGTTGAATGAAGCACAACTGTCGGGTATTTAGAATTGAGCTGCAACAGATGAGATCCATTTCCTTCTCACATCTCCCCTATCTTGCCTATTCATCACTCATTGCTCATCATTACTCAGAGCATCTCCTATCACCCTCTCTTGTCAGCCCCACCTTGCCAAAGCTGCCCTTGCCGAGCACTTGAAGAAACGTGAAGTTCGAAATTCCCAGTCGAGGAGCCTGCCGCTGACTTTCCGTACTCTCCCTCCTCTCGGACGGCTGCCTCATCGGATTTTCCTTTTGGAGCTGTCAGAGAAGATCGAGCCGTTTACAGTCACAGTAATGCAGAACTGACAGTCATTTGACTCATTCTGAAAAACTCAGAAGACGTACCACTGAGTTTCTTTTGGCCAGCCCTCCGGCCTGCAGACCCATCTCCGCCAGCTTATTGGCCAGCTCCACGCTGTTCACGCCGCAGCTGGGCGCGACGTTGCCTTTGCAGCGGATGTGGACGTTCATCTTGCAGACTGAAAAGAGAACAAAACAGGAACACTCATTGACAGGCAAATTTGAGATCCTCATTTTGAGACGTGGACGTGGCGCTTACTTTTACAGTGCAGCCCCTGTCGGACGATTCCCCACAGCAGGGAGCCGCAGTGGTCGCAGAAGGTGGGCGACTTGTAGTTGTGCATGCTGAACTTGTGAGGGACGTTGATGCTGAAGCCTTGGGTCGTGGGCTGCGGAGATACGCACGGACAACACGCACCGTAAAAGACCCACCATGCGTTGCGACAGCATGCTTAATCATGCATGTTAACATTCTAAATAAACTGGCACACAGAAGGCGTTGAGGAACACGATCTGGTTCCTATTTTTGTCACAGTGGGACTTTGTTTCGGTTCAGCGCTGCAGTCGCCTCCCTCACGGTTTCCCCAGGGAAGAGAAACTCGTACCGTTCAGCAAAAAAAAAAAAAAAACACAGTAAAACGGAGCAACTGTTAGAATAAGCTGGAATATTAATAGAAACATGAAAACTGCATGACAAGCACGTGTGGAACATGTAGCGTGGTGCAGAGTTCTGGTCCAGTGACCAGCCCAGAACGAACACCGAAACAGGAACCAGCACACTTTGCTGATCACTGCAGGTGGTGTTCAGAAGTGTATTTGTGGGTGTGTGTGGGAGGGGGGCGGCTATATTTTGCACATCCTGTATTACAAAAAAGCTGCCTGAAAAGTGATCAAACACCAACATCGGTGCCTGAAATACTCAGAAACACTGATTACACTGTTGTTAATGGGATGATCTATGAAAACAGTGTTATTCTGTCGGGTATTAGCCGACACTCTGACTCCTGTTACCTGTTCTTTTGCGGGTTTCTTCATGCGTGGGCACACGGTGACGACATGCTCGTGGCATCGTTTGTGAACCACACAAGTACAAACTGAAACATAAAGACAAACTGGGTCAAACTCATGATTCCTGTCAGTATGTCTGAATCGGCACAAAGAGTAAAAAAGTTGTGCCCACCTTGACACTGGTAGCCCTGCTTTCCAAAAACACCCCTTCAACAGAGAAAGATTAGACACGATTAGATTTACGGTCGACACAGACACGTGCAGGCAGAGAGCGAGTCGATCTTGTTCGACTTTCTCACCAGATGAACTCTTTGCAGTGGAAACAGAAGGTGGGCTGACGGAGGAACGTGGACATGAACTTGTGTCCGTTGACCTGGTGGATCTTCCGTTTCACGGCCCTCTGCCGCTTCCTCGTGAACTGCTTGTAGGTCTTTTCTTTCACTATGGCATCATCTGGCAACGAAACGAGAGCAAACAAATAGAAATGATGAATGCAAATGTGGCACAACTTCACACAAAACCCCACATCACGCAAAGCTAAGGCTTGAAATTATAGCAAAAACTAATCACAATGATTATATTGTTTCCAGGGCGCTGGTTAGAACTGGACTCACTGTAGGCTCATCGTTCACTGCAATATAAAGTCTGAACCTGTATGGAAACAGCAAAACCATGACTAGACGTGGAGAGAATAAGTTCCACACAAAAAAGAAAAAACAAGAGTTGAATTACTTTGATTAATTATTTGGTAAAAATCTAAAGAAAATCTAAACTTAGCCTGTTGCCCTACTGGTGTTAACATTACTGGACAATAATGAGTGACTCTACACACTGCAGTAGACATTTTACTGCTTAGATGTGTTCATTTGTTTTCATACTTGTGTCCTATCTGTACACACAGCCTGCAGTTCAACCCAAAAGTCCCACAATTTTTGTCACCTGCCTGTTTTAGTTTTGGTTAAGATGTGGACCACAGATGTTTTTTTGTAATTTAATGAATAAAAGGACAAACCTCCAGAATGAACAACAGCTGTCAGAATGCTGAACTGCTGATCCACACATGCAAACACTAGTTTATTTAAGTTGCTTTGAGTTATTGGATCCTGAAGAAACGCTCTCTCATGTTGCCTGTACTACTGTGGATGTACAGCAACATGACAATAAACTGGATTTGAATCTGGTTCAAGCAAATGTTTTGTTTTTGGACACAGAATTTTACGCCACAAGGATAATTCAGCTCAATCAGTTGTCATACAGACCAAGAAAAGACAAGAGATGCAGATTTAATAGGATGCATTAAAGTTTATGAGGTAATAAAAGTTGCATATTCAGTGTTTTACGTCTGCACACATGCGCACAGTGCAGCTTTATGTGTTTTAAGCAGTGGAAGTGTATTGAAGCTATTTGTGAGCTGAAAACCACACTGGCGTTATGGAAACCTTGTGCGCTGAGCCCACAGCGAGCAAACAACACATGTGGTCGTAGTTCGAAAAAGAGGGCGTTAAATTGAGACGAACAGCTTCTGAACTGCAAGACGTCTAATATTATGCACAATTACGCTGCGTTTCTCCGTCTGCTGGAAAAAATACGATTCATTAGCTGCATCTCACCCAAAATACATGTCCGGTGTTGTTGTTGGTTTTTCTCAAAATATAGCACGACGTATATGAAACGGGCAGTAATAACATGTTATTCATCAGCTTTGAGTGAAGTCACATTGTGGTCATTAGGGGCAGGAATCACAGAGAAACTCATAATGCAAACAGTTTAGGCTGCCCACAATCACAATAGCATCACAGTATTGATGTATTTAATTCCTGTGAGTATGTTCGTTATGGTTCAATTTCACTGATGAGTCGGTGTAATTCTCCGAGTCGCTTTTCTGCGTAAAGTTCGGTTCACTTCACGCTCATGGTTTAGAAAACAAGCCGCCACAAGTATTCTGGTAAATCACACCGCTGGAGGAATCCTTTCAGAGCGCCAGCATGTTTAGAACCAGTGTGTTGACAAAGCATTGCAGGAGGTTATGAAGAGTTCATGTACAAAAACAGATAATTCCATCTCCTTCACAAACAGTCAGAAAACCCCCTTTTCCATCGGCTACCTGAGACAATATCAATTAAATCTCTATGTTTGTCATTTCTACTGAGTCAAATCCACTCAGCTTCAGTTTCATTGATTTCATCGCAAGCAAACAACAAAAAAGAAGTTTCCTGAAAATCTACAAAAACTGAGTTATCTGTTTTTGCAAATGACCTCTTCAAATATTGTCATATCAATATTTTGTTTGTTTTTCAACATATTGTTTTTCAAAGTCAGATTTTCCACATGAACAAGTAGTTTTTAAAGTTTTTGTTTAGTGTTTTTTTTTTGTGTAATACAACACAACACACTGATCCAAACAGGAATTTGATCAGTTCCCTACATTTGCCACATAATGATGATATGAACTATGTTGTTAATCAGAAGCAGAAGCAGATTTATTACCAGGTATAGTTCACACAATACGAGGAATTTGTTCTGGTTGGTCGCTGCGACAATAAATATAGACCAAGGTACAAGATAAGATTATAAAAATAGCTAAAAAGTAAAAGTAACTAAAAATAAAAATAACTGTCCGTTGGACTCCATAGAGGAGGCGGGTGAGAGGAGGATGTTGGCCAAACTGACGTCCATCGTGGACATCACCTCTCACCCCCTACACGACACTGTGGGCTCTCTGAGCAGCTCCTCCAGCAGCAGACTGATTAGACACAGTTTTCTCACGTGCAATACACCCCTTACTGTGTGCAATGTATCTGCCTTATGTGCAATAATTGTCATAACTGTATTTATTTTGTACCATATTTTATTTTATTCTATTTATCTTTTTTACTTTTTAATTCATAGTGTCCATTATATGGACCTGTAGTGTATATAGTGTCTGTGTGTGTGTGTATGTGTGTGTGTGTGTGTGTGTATGTGTGTGTGTGTGTGTGTGTGTGTGTGTGTGTACACTTCCCAGCTCTTACTATTCATAGATTATTTGTTCTCTTTTCTTCCTGTCACTTTTTGAGCTTTTTCCTGTATTCATGCTGCTGCAACAACATGAGTTTCCCCACTGTGGTGAAAAATAAAGTGTAATCTAATCTAATCAAAGCAGATGCAAAAAATATTGTGGAGAAAACTAAGTTAACTAACAAAACAAACAGTCGCACCGACACACTGTGACAGACATCCTCGGTACCATCTTGTTCTACCTCTAACATCATGATAAACATGGTGGCCACACAACATAACGACACTTTGGGCCCAACGTGGACACTTTCATTCACTTTTGCTGCCAGCGGTTTAGACATGAATGTCTGTGTGTTGAGTTGTTCTGAGGGGACAGTAAATGTTCTCTGTTTGTTACACCAGCTGGACACTGACTACTGACTGATGAAAAGATAGAATAAAATATTTGCAGACACACCTACTGTAGATTCCCTCCACCCTCGCCAGCTGCATAGCTTGCTGTGTCATACTTTGTGGCTGTTTGCAGCCTCTGACTCCGGCCTCGTGGTTAACCAGCAACCTAATAATGTGAAAACTTTTCTACCTTTATGGTCTCCTATAAACTCTGTAAAACGGTTTTAATGTTTTCCTGCAACATTCCAGCGGATTATTTCCAAATGCTAAAGGAAAAAAACATCAATTACATCGTGAACGGAGGGAGAATATTTGTCAAGGTGTAAAATAATAACTTTGTGCAGCTGATCAGAGCCGCAGTTTGTAGCCTGAGGTTGCTGTAAAATCAACTTCTCCTTTGCACAGTAATTTCCTACTTAACTCATTTAAATAGTCGCATGTTAGCGCTTAAAAGCTCGTATACACACAGTATGTTAAGCATTCCACGCTGACGTCTGAAGAAGGCAAACATCTTCTCGTCACTACAGCATTCCTGGAACATACCGGCCATCAGGAGTCACACAAAGGCAGCCGCCTGCCTGCACGCCCAGTCTCACAGCGGCGAGTATTACATAGATAAATATAGGTATTTAGTGACTCACAGACAAATAATGATTCAGGCTGTGTTTCACGGACCACAAAAGAGAAGACAGTGACTAACTTCAGGCCTGCATAAATAGCTGGTATTGTTTACCAGCGCGTGAAGGAGAAGCACAGTGTTGATGTTTGTCATGTGGAGGAACACCGGGCCGCCAGCAGAAGGCCTTACCGTCAGTGAAGGAGCCAGACAGCGTAACGTGGACGTAGACCTTCCCCTCCGGCTCCAAGTCCATCTGCAGACACACAAACAGAACACGATTACTTCTGTAATGAGGAAACAGAACAGACATGTATGGCTAGCTATCTAATGTATGTGGAGCAGAACCATGGTGCACCTCCTGGTTGGCTATTTAACGTTGCCGTAGTTCCCGTAACCGGGTTAAAAATGTGAGGCGTGTTTTGAGCATCAGTCCCTCGGCTTCCTGAAGATGCAGCAGCGACATATTTTTGCATTCTTCAGCGCCGACGTAACGTTAAAGGAATCCGCGACAGAAAACCCACAAAGCAGGTCAGGCGGGTTTGGCCGGTCGCAGAGGCCCGATGCTCAGCAGCCAATTACGCTCGAAACATCATCATCACCTACGTACAGAGAAGGGTCTTTTTGGAGGCCCGGCCGGGACAGGCAGGCAGACAAAGCTACATCCCGCAGCAACCACTGAGTGGAAACTTAAGTCACTGCACCCTTAAACACACATCTATTTATGTTGCATACACCCTTCCTGGAAAATATTGACAGCTAACCCAGCAATGACATGAAAAGCATAAATATAAAGTAAAACGTGACAGCAGAGAGTGTGAAGCTCTGCAGTCTAGACAGCTTGTCCACTGTTAATACTTCCTCAGCGGGCGCTATCTTTGGTTTTTACACTCCTGCAAACTCTGGATAAAGAAGTTTTAAAAAAGCTGCATGAACTGCCTGAAAGTTCCCTGAAAGAGTCAGATTCAAGGATGGATTCACATTTTTTGAAGCCCGTCTTGAAAAAAAATGGAGACAGAGAAAGAATTATTGCCAAAAAATTAACTCTTTATGTTGAACTTCATGTGCAGGCAAATTAACAAAAGCTTCTTCATGTGCTAAGAAAAAATGGAAATTCAAAGACAGAATTTGATGACAAGCGTGCAAACTGCTGATGAAAACTACTGACCTAACAGCACTGCGAGGAGCATCTTGTTTTGTGAACAGCTTTTAGGGAGATATATTACAAACAAATAAAACACTAAGTGAAGAGGTGATGCATGAATAAAATGCATGTTTTCCATCAGTGCAATAGACTCCTGGAGACGCCCTCATGGTTTCAATGGAGTCCTCCTTCTGAATTTTGTGATTTAAAAACTTTAGAATATATTTAAGGGTCCATGTCAGTGAGTTTGTGTGAGCGCTGCAGTGACACTCGTGGAGCAGATGTGATGCAAAACAGACGTGGGTGATAGCAGCATGACTCTGTAATTAAAAAGCAGAACATTTAGTGCTGCATCATAAGGGGAAGAAGGTTCTTCGTGCTTTCTGTGAAACAGGAGGCAGCGGCCGTTTTCACGAAGCAGGCAGGCGAATGGAAAATGTTGGGGAGCCGCATTTAACCCGCTTTCAGTTTCATCAGCTTTAAGTCAGAGGAGCCGCCGAGTCTACGGATACTTACGACGAAGAAAGAAGCTAAATTAGAAGAAAAGTCAAGAAGTCATGCAGTGTGAAGAGGTGGGAGGCAAAGGAAACCGGCCTTATGTGCCTAAATGTCATGTGTTAAACGCATCAGATGGATGACGTCAGAGTTGAGCAACCTTCTGAGAAACTCTGCTTGTAGTCCAGCTTCAGTGAATCAGACAGGAGGACTGTGTAAGAGGTGAACACACAGGGAGAAAAAAATTACAGAGACAAAGAAGAGCATCTGGAAAAGAGCCAGCAGAGTATTTCAGTAGTGAGCCCTTGAGCAGTGATCGGATGGTGGGAACACTGTGGTAAACAGCAGTGTGGGCGTGTGGAGGCTTGTGCCTCATATATGAAACAAACCAGCCCAGCACTTGTTTCTGCGCAACAAAGCACAAAAAAAAAACCCTTTTGCAGTTCAGATCTGGCGGATAACAACTTTGAGCTCGTGTCGTGAAGTGAGGAAGCCGACTGCACTCACCGGCCGACTCTTTTTAAAAGTGCAGACCAAGTTCTACTTTCACACCACTTCCCCTCGTCGCCTCATCGCCCGGGGTCTCGGCGGCGCAAATGTGTGAAAAGCAATAGTGAAAGCTTTGTTGTTGCAGAGTGTTTTTACAACTGATCAGAAACTCTGGGTTAAAGTTCTATAGATTTTCTCACTTAACTATTTGCATCTCTACATAAAATAAATTAATTCCCTCGATATTGCTTCAAAAAAATGAGCGTTTCTTCAAGACAGAAAACAGAATTGAAACACACTTTGCCCACTCTGTAAGGTCTTCAGAGAACTGCTGTGAGTTGTGGTTTCAGGGTAGATACGGTTATTTCTGCAAATTTTCAAATACTCTTTGTGGTATTGAGGCAGAAAATGTGTGTTTTGTTTCATCTGGTTTACATGACTATCAATGCAAAGTCCTTCTTGTGCACATTTTGCTGACGTGATGCAAAGTTCAGCCAATTTTTTTACGTTATTTTTAGTAACAAACGTGCTTAACTGACAATTGGTTGGAGGAGAATACGTGTAGAGTGTGCAGCAGCTCCTCCTGCTCCAGGCCTGGACAGGTTCAAGTTACGTTCAGCTGCAGCGGCTTACAGACCTGGAGGGATGAAAGTACAGAGGAGCGAAACTCTGCTCCAAAAGGCCAGTTGTTGTTTGTGTCTCACTAAGAGTTAAGACTGTGATACTTCCCCTAATCATCAAAGAGGACTTTGAAGAGGTCATTTTGGAGCTCCGTTGTCAAATGTGTTTAAAACTGTTTGTAAAGGCTTTACATCTAAATCAACCAACTGTGATTTAACTTTAAAGTCTGGATAAAAAAAGTGTAGAGGTTACACATTTGTTCATACAGGCTGGTTGAATGCTTGGCAGGCCTGGACCATGTGTTAGTGTGTGCAACTGTCAGAGGCAGAATTCACACTTTGCCCCTGTGGTGGCATGTGTGGTTTGAGACGACACTGACTGCTGATCACAGGAAAGACGTACGAGACGTGAAGAGTTCCTGTCCGGTGCATATTATACAAGAAGACAAGATTGTGTTGTTGTTTCGAAGGCCGGCGCTCTGACGCTGAGCGCAGATAAAATATAATTTATGTATTCATGCAGAAAAACAGGTGAAGTTACTCAGGGTGAGCCATGTTCCGAGCATCAGCCTGAGCTTAATTACAGGTTTTGCTTCCACTAAAACGTTGTTGAGCAGGTGTAAGAGCTCTCACTGAGAAACGACAACGTTCCTGTGAAGGCCACAGAGTCAGAGGGAGACGCAACGTTTTAACTTTTAAACTATCTGCATTTGTAGTTTATCAGAGTATTCTTCTAAAAGCCAATGCCTGTAACTATCTGACTGTAATTGGTACTTGACAAAGGCTTTTTTTTTTTTTTTTATTAAAAGGCTTTTCAACTGAAAAAAGTCACTTTAAACACTCCAAGTTAAACAGTGCTGCGATTCCCTAAACCGGTCCTTGGATTGTGGCCAACGGGCACGTTTGGTAATTTATTCATGAATCCATCAGTGGTTAGAGTCAACACTAGATTGCCATCAGGGCAAAACCCAGCAGTGATGAAGCATGACTGTCTTAATAGAGGCGGCCAGGCTGAGAACATCACTCAAGTCATTTCCTTTTCCAGCTGCTTATGCACACGACTGCCACATAGTAGGACTCATATATATATATATGTATTTTAATTTAGCTCTCAACTGATTTAATAAAAGAAAATGTAAAGGTTGATGTGTGAGCCTGCATGTGACCCTCTGACGGGCGACTATCAGGTACATTTGGTTGTTAAACTTTAGCCTGAGGTGCCCGATGGATCCACTACTGCTGCCACATGGACCTCCAAAAATCCAAACTTCTGCAGGTTCATAGCAAATGTGCACGACTGTAAAATATGAAATAAATTCTGCATCATCATCACACATGCTCACATGTAAGATATATTCTTAGTTGAGATGTTTCTAATCAATTAGCATAAATTAATTGACAAACAGAAAAACTACGGTCAGGTATTGTTGTATCTATGGATTGAATGATATGTGTTTTAGTTTTGTTTTAGGATCAATACGGATTATTGGCAATCGAGAAAAGTTGATGATCGATATTTGGACCCGATACACATCACATGTCGTGTTTTATTAGCATTGATAACTCGGCTTCTATATTAATAAGGACGACTTTAATTGAATATCCAAAATTTAAAAAACGAGTGGTTAAATGAGGAGATGTCTGTGAAGATCCTCAGTCATCCAGGTCACGGTTATTCTGGTAGATTAATCGTAGCAACTGGACTTGCTTGAGTTCCTTGAAGACGTTTCATCAGAGAGGCTTCATCAGTTCTGACCGACTAGTTGGGAGTTCCAGAAACTTCTACTCTTAACGAGCCATGAACACCTGAGTTTAAATGAGGACGTTCTGCTCTGTTGATGGATCAGTTTGTCTCCTGAGGTAACTTCTGGGTTCTTCTCTATTTTATTAGCACTTTTATTGCCCACTGAGGTCCACATCTCAAAGCATGATTCAATTATTCTCGTGGCTAACTGTGAGAGTAGTGAATTTCCTGGTTTCACTTTTTGCAATCTTCACTTGAGAGACGTTTGTGAGACCAGAGAGACGACTGCATCGGACCTGAAGTAGCACATTTATCAATAATCCATCAATAAAAATACAGATAACCGAATACAACTAGCTGTATGCAAACTGGTTGATATCTGTGGTAGAAGTGGGTTTATCCATTACTAAAAGTACACATACTCGTCATAATAAGTCTTGTTTTGTGGCGTCAACAAGGTCGACACTGGCTGGTTTGTTTTTTATCATCAACATGTTCCTCCTACATTTAATTTATCAATAATCTGTCAATAAAAACACAGATAATCGAATACAACTAGTTGTAGCACATGTAGACTGGTTGGTATGTGAGGTAGAAGTTGGTGGATCCATCACTAAAGTACAGATACTAGTCATAATAAGTCTTGTTTTTGTCAACAAGGTCGACGCTGGCTGATTTGTTTTTGATCATCACCATGTTCCTCCTACATGAGAACATATTTGTCACCTTTAATAACAAAAAGCACCAGTTTTAGTGTTACAGAACAAGTCTTCTCTCAGGTCTTGGTAGGTGTCAGTAAAGTGGGGCCCAACATGGTGCCCTGAGGCTCCCCAAAACACCAATCCGCCCATGCTCATGGACCCAGCAGCTCTAAAGTCATGAGCTGGACATCCTGTGGTCGCGCTCTACTCACCCATCCCTCAAAGGTCTCCCCGGTGTTGGAGGTCTGGATGAGGTCCTCGAACTGGATGGTGCAGTTGGCCACGAAGTCGTCGTACCCGATCGGAGTGTCGTGGAACACGGCCAGCTCGATCTGCCTGCCGTCGTTCACGTTGAGGCAGAACTCCTCGTTGTAGGTGGGCATGTTGGTCTTCTGCTTGGTGTGGGTCTGTCCGATCTTGTAGTCGTCCACCTTCACCACGATGTAGGGGTCCAGGGCCGGGGCAGCCTTGTTGAAGATGACGGAGTGTCGCAGGGAGAAGGTGGTGGGCTTCAGGTCCAGCGCCTCGCCGATCCGCAGCTTCAGGTAGCCGTTAAACTTCATCTTCAGGAGAAACAAGCGAGAACGCGCAACGCAAGCAAAACAAAAACAAGGTGTGGGAATAAAAAACTAAAAAAAAAAAAACTAAAGAAAACAATCACACCCACTTGGTATGGGATCAACTCGTGCTCAGTTCATCCTGACTGAAGCCTGTAGCTGCTGTCAGCTCTCTGTGAAGCTGCCAGCAGAAGTTTCAGTAAATAGGAAGCCGCAGCAGCAGCAGCAGCAGCAGCGACATGCCGAGGAGGAGGCACAAGTTCCGCATAACTGCTCCGACAACACTCACAACACAACCGACCTGTCACCGTGGCTTCGCCGTGTCACATGGCTCCCTGTGTAGTTCTAGTGGAGTGAGGGTAAAGACAGGGACTACACGGACCATGATGCACCGCTCTGCCTGCTGGAGGTGCCGCGGTGACTCACCTGAGCTGCTCTGTGTGAGGAAACACCGCCACCTGGTGGTCACTGTGCGCAACTACACGTAGTTCTGGCTGTCTGCTAAATTTAGTTTCTTTCTTTCTTTCTTTGCTAAATTTTGTTTGTTTGCTTGCTAAAGTTTGTTTGTTTGTTTCTTTGCTAAATTTCTTTCTTTTGTTGTTAAATTTTGTTTGTTTCCTAAACTTAGTTTTTCTTTGCTAAATTTTTGTTTCTTTCTTTCTTTGCTACCTTTGTTTGTTTGTTTTGATTCTTTGTTTTTTCTTACTTTTTCATCTTTCTTTCTTTTTTGTTTGTTTCGTTTCTGTCTTTCCTTCCTTTGTTTGTATGTTTTGTTTTTGTTTGTTTGTTTGTTTGTTTCCTTCCTACCTTTGTTTGTTTTGATTGTTTTTTCTTTCTTCTTTCTTTTTTCTTAATTTTTTTTCTTTGTTTGTTTCTTTTGATTGTTTGTTTTTTCTTATTAATTTTTTCTTTGTTCTTTCTTTCTTAGTTTTGTCTTCTTTCTTTCTTTTTGGTTTGTTTTTCTTTCCTTCCTTCCATTTTTTCTGTCTTTCATTTTTTGTTCTTTTTTTTCTTTCCTTCTTTTTTCCCTTTTCTGTTTTTTTTTCTGACTCTTTCTTTCTTTCTTTCTTTCCTGTTGGAGCAGACTTGTAGGTGAGCTGGTGTGCTCGAGCTTCACGTTCTAAAGGAAGCAACATGTTTTTGAATGACATCCGTGTGAAACTTTGATATACAGTGAAGAGTTTTTAGGGTTAAATCAGTGATAAACTTTAATTAAAAGCAGCAACCCCGTGCGATAAAAATACTCAAGACGCCACAATTAATTCACTTCCACAATCCTGGTGTTGTTTAGTTCGTATCCTCGGATTACAAGTATTGGTATCCTGACTCACAGCTTCACTGGCAGGTCTTACTGGGACACCTGAACAGAACAGATGCATTTCCTGCTTTCCTCTGCTATCATTAATAGAAATATCAATAACACTCATTCCTGAACTCTTGTTAACTGAAAAAGGTTTTTTCTTCCACCAATAAAAATAAAATATCAGATATTTTTCTAGTTCAACTCAGCCCTGCAGACAATATGATGTTTCCATCCTATGCAAAAGAAGAATGGTTTTTCGTGTCTGAATTCATATCCAGTATTATATATTCAAATAAATAGTACAACATCTTGAACCGTGCACTTGCTCAAAGTATTCTGTCAACGAGCTTCTTAACAGTGTTTTTTTTTTTTTTTTTTTACCTCTTTGGCGATTGTCAGACAGCTCCTGGAAAAGAAAAACTGGCTTCTGTTCACAAGGAAGGTTAAGCAGCTATCAACCATCACCTCCTGCGTTTGAACGACATCCTTGACATGACAATGCTTCCTTTAAACCTCACTAAAAACTAACCCTCAGGTCAAGAATCTCGCTGTGATCGTTGGTGAGGATGTACATTTCAGCAGCTGCACCAAGCACCTTTATTCGTCTTAAAAACGCAGCAAAACCGTGAAACTTTGCGTCCAAGCAAGATTCACGTTTTCTCCTACGTATAAATACACTGGTGTAATGCACTCCTACTGGCCTCCTTAATAAGACCATTAAAGATCTGCAACTCATTTAAAATATTGCTGCTAGACTACCAAGAAGCGAGAGAACATTACTCCAATTCTTAGGTCCCTACATTGGCTTATAGATACATATAGATTTGAACCTGTGCAGCAGGAGATTTGTTAGCCGTCCCACAGCACCAGATTATTCACTATTCTATTCCACAATATCTTATCAGCAAAATGATTCTGGTTTCGAACCGTCTGGTCAGCTGGCTGGAGTGTTAATGTTCTCCCTGAGCCTTTAGGTGCTCAAACAAAGCTTTACTCCTACTTAGGAGTGAAGTGAACTTCATGTGCAGGCGTCCAAACTAACAAGATCTTCTTCACCATGCTGCAAAAAATGGAATTTCAAAGACAGAATTTGATGACAAGCGTGCAAACTGCAGATGAAAACTACTGACCTAAAAGCACTGCGAGGAGCATCTTGTTTTGTGAACAGCTTTTAGGGAGATATATTATAAAAAAAAATAAAACACTAAGTGAAGAGGAGATGCATGAATAAAATGCATGTTTTCCATCAGGGCAATAGACTCCTGGAGGCGCCCTCATGGTTTCAATGGAGTCCTTAAATAAACCAAATAATCTACATCAGATATTGTTTAAATGAATTAATGTTAATATGAGCAGGTCCACATGCTTCTTGAATGCAAGGATATAGAGCTCTTGAACATTTGATATAAAAATGTCACTATGTTTGGCATTTACGAGATCAAATTTTGATTAATTGCTTTCAAAAAATCTGCAGAATTTTTAATCACCTCCAGTTCTGATGACTCCTCCAGTGTTCACATATTTGAGGTAAATGAACCAGCGACAGAAAAACCAAATCCTAGAGTGAAAGTGAAACATCATTCACTTCATTCCCTGTTTTTTTTGGGCCTGTCTGTCTTTTTAAACGCTGCCATACTGTTCCTTTCTTCTTTAAATGCCACTCTCTCCTCTGCTGCTCTCTCTGAGGGTGCTCTGCCTGCTCCATCCATAAATGCCACGATCAAAGTCTCCACTTTATTGGTGTTAGACTTGACCTCTCACCCCACTCTGCCACATGTCAGTGCTCCACATCTCGCCGCTCCAGCTGTTATAAATAAAGAGCCGGGCTCCCAGATCTTGCACATCCCTCGGATCCAGACTGTCTTGTAAACAACCTCTTAGACACGACCTTGCTGAGCAGAGAAGGTCGTAATGATAAAGCAGGCAGATAGCGGATCGCCTCGGTGCCGGAGTGTGAATACGCCCGCGGCTAGCAGCGGCCGAGGCTTTTTTGTCAGCTCAAAATAAAACTTGTGCACCTAAAATTTATGCTGCAGATCACCTTGACCAACAAGAGCAAGCACACGCTCAGCGCCTACATTATTTGTTATCCAACGCTTTGGAGTCAAGGTTTTAAATGGTATTTTTGTGACTAGACAGTATTAAAAGGGGCATAGGAGTGTTCCTCTTTTCACTAAATCTCTTGCTGAGCTGTCCAGCAGAGGGCAGACTGAGACTGATAAATCCCCTTATTTATTTTTTTTCTTGCCTCACCTTCCATCCTCCTGTTTCTTCTCTGCCTACCTGTCTGTTATGATGAAGCAACTTTAAAAATCTCTATATTTTCCTTGTGCTCCGTCCTGTTTTACTACGGAGCCAGACCTGGCGTTTTTACAGTCCCGGATGATTTGTTTTGTTTCTTTGTTCTGCCAGCGGTTCCCCTCTTTTTCTCCCTCTTGTCTGGCAACTCTGTGGCTCTTTGCCCTGCGTCGTTTCCTCCTCATTCCAGTCTGACTTTCTCCCTGTAAGTGGTTGTCATGGCCAAATCTGGAATTTATGCACTCATGGGAGAAGTCTGCAGCGCTACATGACTCTAGACACCAGACTGAGAACACAAACCTCTGAGCCACATGTGTACATGTACACACTGGGGCACGTGCATGCCTCAGACACACACACCGGCATGAACACACACTTCTGATGTATCTCCTCAGGATGCCAACGTTTTATTGCACACAAGCAACAAAAAAGAAGAAAAAAAAGAAGAAGCCATATTTCAGAGCAGGCTGATTCTCTGTATACAACTTAATTTCAGCCACCTGTAGAGTTTCCACATTTGCTTCACAGTCTACGCTCCAATTTATGTCTGTGTAACCCTGGACAGCTCAATCCGCTGGCTCCCTGCCCAGGTACACCCTATAGCTGCAGCTAATGAAGCATAGCATTGGTGCCAAACAGGGGACTAAAGGGAATACGGCCCAGATATGGCGAAGCCCGTTCCCAGCTCTTTTGACCTCGGTGAGGGAAATCCTGCGGGGCCAGTATACATACACCCCACCACCACCACCACCACCACCACCGCCGCCGCCCCTCCTGCACCACCACAAACTCAATTACATCCATCAGTCACTGGGTCCAAGCACCAGGAATAACTCCCCCCTCATCCTACAGTCTGCTCACAGGAGCCCAACCTCTCCTCAGGTAAGGCTGTGTAGAAACAAACACACACATATATCCCCGGGGTTCTCCTGTGTGAACGCAGAGGCACTCCATAAATCACAGCAGTGGTGCTAAATGTGCTTTATTCATAAATGGTGTTTACTGCCGGTGCTCTACCACAGGAAAACACGACTTTACATCTGCAGGAATGATGCCAAAATTTAGCAGGAAACTCAAATGAGTTCATGATCCTCTTTTAAAAACTGAAATATTTGCCCATTTTTCAAGAGAGAAGATGACATACAGCAAACAGGACGTCGTGGTTAACACGGTGGTGTCTTATTTGATTCTTTTCTTCTGCTGATTAGCTAAAAGGAAAAAGGAGAATCCCTCTCAGGGTGCAGGATGTGTGTTTTGTGAGGCAGAAAGAAGGAAGAAGAAAAAGAGGAAAAAGGGACTGACGATAATAAAGCCCGTTGTTGTGAAAACTGCAGGAATGTAACTGTGAGAGTGGTCAGAGCTGCTTTGGACGGAGTGTAGCGGGTGCTGGAGCTGGTGGTGGAGGTGGGGGCTCTGTCACAGCCCCTCCAGGGTAATTGGCTCCAGATGTGAGGCAGCGTGGCCCCTGCGCCAGAAAGGCGTCAGGGCCGCATTAAGAGCTCAGCCCGGGGCTGATGGGATCGCAAAGACACAAGCTCAACCTCACTCACCGCTGAAAAACACAGAGCGAGTCCCACACTGTGCTGCTGACCACTGGGCCTCCATCAGTGCCCTTCCTGCCTCCGAAGCCCCGATCATCATCTGCCAAAATAACCAAGCGTTGCAATTCTTAAAGCATCGCAGGAGCTCCGCTTGTTTATTTACAGAAGGCTTCTTTCACCTTCGACTTTTGATTTTGGCCGACAAGATGAAATCACTCGTCATTCCCCCTCACAGCCATGTGATGTTTTGGTGACTATGGAGACGGCAATCTGGGAGTCTCTTCTTTTTGATGTCTTTGTGTTCCTGCTATTGTGTTGGTCCTGATTGTGGCCTGAGAGGCGACGTGTGTGTCAGTCACTTCTTCACCAGTTTCAAGAGTCTCTATTCAAGACAGCAGCATGTTTACTGCACACAATAGTTAAGCGCCGCAGCGTTCTGTGTTTCATGGAGACTCTCGGGTGCTCACAATAGAAGCAGGGTGAAGGACAGCACTGGTTTGTCTGAGACACACTGGCTAAAAAGCAGAGGATGATAACAATGTCAAGCTGCACAATGTCATGGCTCAAGATGTGTGAGGATAAGTACAGTCAGTGGAGCTGTTAAAAACTCTCATTCTCTCCCGTTACACGTTGCCCCTCGTGTTTTGTTCGCTGACACTGTTCCAATTGGAACTTTAAACTTTCCTTTTCAATATAATTTCATGAAAAGCATGAAGAAATTTGAGTGTGCTGGTAAATAAGGTACATTCTCCTATGACCGGAGCATCTGCTGTCTCAAAAAGAGTCCTCAGAGCGAGGAATGCTCTTACTGTGACACAAAGAGCATGTTTACTGATAGAGCGTGGAAATTGATTAAAAGCAGAAAAGGAGCATGGAGTGAAGGTAGACGGAGGGAAGAGAGAGAATGGGAGGAAGGGGGAAAAAATTGAAATGGAGAGCACTTCATCAGTGATGACACTCGCGTATCGATGGCATTTGCTGAGTTGCAGTCCCTACCATGACTAACAAGGAAAACCACTCATCATGCCAACCGGCATTAAAAAGCTCATGTGAAAAGACCCTTGAAGCACCTTTCAGCCAGGAATGCCTGTTGAACGAGATTACGCGGGTAAACAGAAAGCAGATGTTGTGCGTGTTTTCAGGTCTGCTGCAGTTTCTGACATCCACTACCTGCGACGGCACGTTGAGCCGATGGAACACAAACAGGAAGAGGAAAAGGTTCGGCTGTGTGCCGGCGCTGATCTGTAGCAGGGCTGGGATGTAACTAAGTACATTTATTCAATACTTTTTAGTTTTTTTTAAGTGACACTTTCCTCTTTGGGTGGAAATAACATTTTACTTTACTTCATTTATGACAGCTTCTTAAAAAAATGAAGCTTTTGGCACACAAAACATAAAGAGAGCTTATAAAATCTGCAGTTTTGTATTATTTAAACTAACAATTTTGCACAAGTTCAGCTGAAACATCAAGTTAATTGGTCAATAATGGGACTGACAGGTTGAAACCAAGTCATTTTTAATGTGAAAACAAAGATTTCTTTTGATTATTACGATATTCTGAATGTATTTTTTACTTTTTTTGAGCTTTGGGCTGTTGTCTGGATAAAACAAACATGATGAAAGGGTCACTTTGGGGAATTAAAACAAGATTTTGCACTTTACAAACCAAACGAGTAATCGATTATTGGAGAAATTGTCAGCAGATCAATCCATAATTAGTTGTAGTCCCATTAAAACTAATTTAAAATGAGCCCCAAATGTGAGAGTAAAATCAGGATTTTACATTGATGCATGAGAAATAACAATCTAATCATACGCTGTGCTAGTATAAGATAGATAAATAGACAGATAGAACTTTACTGATCCCTTTGGTAGAACCTCAGGGAAATTGTTGAGGTTATAGCAGTCATCGAGGATTTTTTTTGCATTGAGTATTTTAATTTTTAACATGTCATTATCATTAAATACTTTTACTTTGGTAAGATTTAAACACAGGACTTTTACTTGTGAGAGTGTTCTTCCAGTGTGGTATTAATCCCGCTGCAGTCACCTCAACACAAAGTCAAACCGAACAGTGCCGCCTATAAACTGTACTTTCTGCAGATCCGATCCAGAAGTTCCCAAACTCTCTCGTCTCCACGTCCGAGCAATGAGATGCTAACTATGTTAAAGGTCACAGCGAGGACAGTGGGATCAGAGCCAGCTGTTATTCCGATTTCCAACAACAGAAAATGATTTTCAAAGAACACAGCCGACACCTCTTAAAACAACACCGAAGCGGAGGCTGCCAACAGGGGCTTAATTTGAGCCCACCATCGTTCCTCCGCCTCATTCCATCCTTTAACCCTGGGAGATGGTGTTGTCATACTGCTGGACATGAGCCCAGGGTGTGAGTGAGTTTAACTAAACAAAAACACTCCCACCCCGGGCTCAGGGCTCATGCCCCAGTCGGGCCTTCATAAAAACAAGCTCTGGTCTGTGTTAGCGTGCACGTTTCCAACACATGATAAAATTGGGAGAAAATTGGAGCATCTGGTTATCTCTTCCTAGTTAAGGGTTTTCATAAAGCAGGAGAGGAATGCCCATGAAAGGAGGAGGACGGGAGCTGCTGTGAACACCGTCTGACACTAGGTGGTAATCTTGTGCTGCACATGAGCCTCCCGCATGGAATCATGTAAAGGATTGTCAGATTAAGCTCATGCTACTTCATGCTTGATCGCATTCAGAGACACTTAAAGCTGCTGTAGTCACTTTTCACATTTAGGTTTGGCATTAAAAAAAACACGTCGAGGCATTTTTACATCTGAACCAAATCGGTCAAATGATCAAATACGTCACAGAACAACTTGAGAAAAAGTCAAAAAGCAACTAATAGAGATTAGATTTACATTCATGCACGTCTTCCACATATGACAGCCAAATATACACCCAGCAGCAGTTGTGATGCCTGTTCTGGATGGGAGTGTCCTTCAGAGGAGGCCCCGGATATTTCCTGCTCTAGAGAACCTCCTTCAACACCAAGGAGGGGGGGCGGCGTGAAAACCAGGCAGCCACTGCTTTGTGCAGGGACGACGGCCCGTCCTGCCTAATTCCTCAGATTAAAAGCAGCAGTCGGGTGACCGAAGGTTCCAGCGGCAGCATGAAGACAATCTAAACAGCGTCATGATTAGAAACGTACAGAGCATGTGGCTTTCATTAGCCGCAGGCCCAACGCTCAGCGAAACACAGAGGAGCAGGTCTGGGCGTCCCCGCCAGTCCAACACATGGACCAGTTCTGACTGATGAGCTTCTCCACGACGCCGATAAAGAGCCAACCGACATGTCATCACATAAACAATATCTCTTTTATTAAATGCCAGTAATTAGAAAAGGAACAAATTATTTTTACATTTGGTTTTTATCACATTTGTCGAAGAAGGCAAAGTTTGCAGAAATATTTGTACCTGAATCCTGGAGTATGAGTGGAGCATCGACAGTAACACGTGAAATAAAGGGTGAAAACAAGACACTTAATTTAAATTTCTTCTGTGAATAACAACATTTGGCCTTAAATCAGAGGATAAAAACTTATTATAGTGTATCCGTGAAAATGTGACTTGAACAAAATTTAAGAAAACCTGACACTGACCTGGTCAACAACATTTCAAAACACTCGAACCCGGTCGTACATAAAGTGCATCATCGTCCGCATAGAAAAACACTAAATAAACTAAACGTCATCCATCTGTTGTTCCAGGAAGATTTAAAAAATAGATTGTCCTGAATTTTGTACAGTTTAAAAATCAGCATGTAGAAGATATAAAAAATAAAAAGAGCTGGTCTATGTTTCTAACTTAGAAAAAACACTAAAGTAGTGTTTGAACTACTTCACTATACAAATAGTGCCTGAGGTGGTGCTGGTGAGCATTCGTTTGTTCCCTTTCCTTATTCAGGATAAAGTTTCTTTGGTGCACGTTTCCCTTTCTTTGCTCTTGATTTGGTAAAGTGGGGGCCCGGAGGAGGTCAGGAGCTCTTTACCCAAGTGATGACAATGAGAGACAAACTGGTGACGCCCATAATCAAGCCAAAGACCACAAGAAGTATGGCCTGGAGAGACGAGAGGAGCACACGATGGAAATGTAAGTAAAAATGTAAACGACTGCGGCTTTTGATTTATATTGAACTGTATGTATTTACCCCGATGGAGTCGAAGGATCTGAGGGGTTGGCTGCTGATCTTGAGGTAGAAGATTCCCGGGAAAACAAATAACAGGCAGCTGGACGTTGTTGATCCTGAGGCACAGAAAAAAGCAGACAACATATAATCAATAAAAGTAGAATACTGACAGAATGGGAGCTTTTAATATCAGATCCAGATATTTAAAAGTCAACCGTTAAGTCAACAACAAATGCATATAGTTTAAAACTAGGATAATATATAGTAAAAAACATTTATTTCCCTATATTTGAAAAGTATCACCCACCTACTACTCCAAACACTTGTCTGATATCAGGCACAAAGATGGCCAGAATCAGCACCACGCCGAGGATGGTTAGGGTCGTGGCGATGTGGACGATCCAGGAGAAGGGACGTCCTCCAAACAGCAGCAACATGGCAGCCTTACGGGCCTGCAGCGAACACACATGAAGCTCAGTGAAGCCAAACAGACTCTGACCACTCGGTGTTGTTTTAGTCGGGAGGAAGAGCTTGTTGGCAGCGGTGAAAGGGTTTGACTGTTTTAGTTGTAATCAGTGAGCAAAACACAGACATAAGCAAAGAACCAAATACAACTTGATTTTTTATTAAAGGCTGTTGAAAACACAAGAATGCAGTCAGATCGAAGGAGAACGTCAGAAGTGCACCAGCAGGAGGGGAAGGGAAGGTTTAGGATGAAGCACCTTCGACCGTTTGTTGTTTTTACTCAGCTTTATGAACAAGGAATTCAACGAAGGAGGGATCAGCAGTATCATGAAGTCGCTCTACTCACGGGGAAGTGTATCAGTGGCACCGTGAGCAGCACAGAGAGGAGGATGGCCAACCGCACCGTCATCACCATGATGTCTCGAGGCAGGTACTGATCGTAACCGAGCAACAGCTCCGAGTCCACGTGAGCTACGAGCAGCGGGAAAGAAGAGCGAAGAAACGCTGAGCACAGGTGGAGCAGCTTCAGACAGGGTTCTCACATGAAGCAGGTGGAATAAAGTCCTGGCCTACATCATATCAGAAGGCATTTACTTTTACCTATTAGGCTCTGTTTGTAGCGTATTTAAAGGTTCGGTTTGCCTAAAGAGAGTCGCAAACGAGCCACAGTGGTGCTGAAGATGACAGACGAAACAAACCAGGGTGGTAACTAGACACATGCAAAGAGTTTATTTATACATTTAATTATCTCATTTTATACCGTACAACCCCAGATCTTAGCAGAACAAGCTCAGCTAAAGGTATTATATCATATTAAAAATGGCTGCACAAGCAAAATTAATATCAGGCATTTCTTGTAGTCAGCAGATGGCACCTTTTCTTCCTGAAATATAACAAAACCAGCTATGGTTCAGTTCTTTATTTTTAAAATGCTGCAAGGATGCTTATTTGCAGCTGAATACATCCAAAACAAAAGACGTCATTATTGATTTTAAACTGAAGCTCATACTGTCCAGCTCTAGTGATGAATATTTGTTAAAACTTATTGATGACTGACTGCATTTTGATGTAAACATGGAAGCATTTGTGCAAAAACTACTTTACTGTCTCAGAAAACTAGGATTATTTAATGTGGATAGAGCTCTTTTATGAACTCTGTCTTTCTCCAGATTGGTTGGTTTGGTAACCTCAATCCAAAATGTAAAAAATGAAATGTTTTAAATTGATCTCCAGCTGTGCTCCCAGATAGCTGCCACCCTTTGGTACCAAGACTTCTCTCCTCTCATGCTACAGACAACCAATTTGCGCATTTGTTCCCACAAAATTCTTGCCACAAATGACATAAATTAAGGCCTGATGGCTCCAATAGCAACATCCACCTGCTCGCAGTGCTGTTGCGGTTAGAGATGCACAGGTTTATTGACCACAACAACATAACAGTCACCTACCCGCATTACTCGCTAGATTTGACTTTTTCCTCTTCAACAAAAATAAATTCAAACTAAAGGATCGGTGCTTAAAAAACACTGAAGGAGATCCACCGATAGCAGAAGGTGCCTGACATGCTAACATGACAGCAAGAAGACCACTTGGTGATGGCAGCCAATTCTAAATCCGGTATGGTGTCAGATGTTTGTAGGTACAGTCTCGAGATAGTTTTTTTGATTGAATCTTGTATCTATTCTTTGTCTACTCAACACTTAGCACTGTGTTGTGTGTTGTTGTTCTTCCACGTTCGTCTGTCTGGATGTTATGCTGCTGCCAAACCGCCCGTTTGGGATCTTAATAACAACTGAAGGACATCGATGTGTGTCCCTGCTGGCTTACCGTAGAAGGTGAGGTAGCCAAACAGCGCGGAAACGAGGTAAACCAGGAAGCTGAGGCTGATGCTGATGTTTGAAACCTTTTGCATCCTGGCTTTGGTCGGACTGAAAGACATGAAGAGATATTCCCCGAGCATGACGTTAACATGCAGTGACTTTAAGTGGAAGTAAATGCAAAGGCTAGAAGCTGCAGCGCTGACCGGTCCAGTTCGCAGTAGATCGGCAGGACGGCCGTGTGGCACAGAAAGGAGAAGGCCATGGTGGGGATGGCGTAGGCGCTCTGCAACACATCAGTCAGCACACAGCCGTCATTAACAACTTATCAGCTTACACGGTGACACGAGAGCGAGGGGGCAGGTGGGTCGAGGTATAGTTTGTGTAGCGGTGATTACCGTCTGCGCTGCTGAGTGTGACGCGCAGGATTAAGGTGAGAACTTTCTGACAACTTCCTTAAATGTACTCCGAGAAGTAAATAAACACCTATAACACCGCGTTGGGCATATTTTTAGTGATCTTGCGAGAAAGCGGCATAAAGTTATTTTTGCTACACGTGCTAAGTGTAATTCTCAGCGTCACATGAACACATGGCCTTTACGTCCAACATCAATGTGAATGGCAGCTGCGTATCGCGCTCGAGTTCCTCAACCTCCATAGGTGAAAGTGTGAACTGTCATCGGAGTCAAACAACTGCCGCGGACCCGCATTCGACAGCTTCTCACCGACACCTCGAAGGTTGTGCATGTGCAGCGCGAGAGGAAAACACAGGTTTCATATGCGTACCTTGCTGGAGATGATGAAGAGTTTGGGCGAACATTCTGAGTCGGAGGAATTCGACACCTGGAGAAAACGAGGAGAGCAGAGGGAGCGTGATGTTTCTGAGAGGAGATGATTTCTGCAGTGCTGCTGCAAACAGAAAGAGAAAGCTGAACTCCACTGTCTTGTTTTGGAGCTAAAAGCTTTGCGTGAACCCGTGCCAGGTTTAAAGTTATAGTGAGGTCTGCAGCATTCCTAAAGGTCAGAGTTTATTTCCAGGATCAGGTAAGGTCGCCTGGACTTCCTTCCCTTCAGGACTGGCAGCTCTCTGCAGCCGTCTCTGGTCCTCATCAGCCAGAGCCCAATCAGTAAACTCAATCTCCTGGGTTTTCCTCCTAATCCCCTGGTCATGGCTGTCTGGTCCAGACTACCTACCTCAGACCTCTGGTATCTTATGTATGTCTGATAGACAGGCTGTTTATTGCTACCTGGAAGGCACTTGAAAAGGTGGTCACATTATGAGGCAGCGGGCAGGGGACGGACCATTTCTTCACGACGATCTGAAGACAAGAGGAAGCAACGAGTCAGCACTGGAAGAAGCAAATGGACTTTTAGGGGTTTATGTCAGAACTCACCACAACTGCAAAGTACAGCATGAAGAAGAAGGCCAGGCTGCTGGTGTAGCCCAGGAAGCCTGTGAGGAGGAGAGAAAGATCAGCTCAGCAGTCACAGTGGAAAACCAAGGAGCTACTAAATCAAATAGCTTACCAATTCTAGGTAACATTGCCAGAGGTAGAACAACGCAAAGTGTCACAAGGACGAGAAGCAGCCTGCCATCTTCATACCAGGCGTTTCTGAAAAACACACAGGAATTAGAAAAAAAAAAGGTTGATGTTTGAATTAAGCCACATTTCTCATCATCATCTCCCAGGTCCTGAAATGTCAGGGACAGCGCAGATTAATCTTCCTCTGCCTTAAGATGGGCCGGCTCTGGAAATTTGTCTCCATTTCGTGCTCAAATACGGAGCGACAGATTCATCATGTGGTACGAATTAAGGGCTTTAGCTCTTGCAAACCATAACAATTATGTAATTCACATGCAAACGTTGTGTCGCTCCATCAGATGAGACCGCATTTCACTTGCCGGGGTTTTTTGGAGAGGGGGAATAATATTTTCCTTTGCTGAGGGATAGCCTTGGCGGTTTATACGGGATTGGGGAGCTGGAGGAGGTGGAGGAGGCGGAGTGGTGGTGGTGGTGGTGGTGTTGGAGGTGACACATGTGGAAGGCATGCTGGCTCCGCTGGGGTCGGGGTCGGGTGGAAAGGGTGCTGCATGGCGCTGCTGTGTGTTGGACGGCAGCGTGGGGTCATGAGGGACTGGCTCCACTGCTCTTTATGGGGCTCCCAGAGTCAGCAGCACCTGCTCCGACCACATCAACACCCACTGACCCCTGTTTGGCAGTTTCACAGCTGTGGCGTTACCGTCGGCGCTGATGGATTTGTCTCTGCGTCTACACTGTTTCTGGCCTGTAAGTGGATGTCGGGGGGACCTCTGCTCCCACATGGAAGCTCTGTTGTCCTGAGTTTAGGTGAAGCAGCTTAATTAAGCTTCCTTCCCCCGCCTCGCACACACGGGGATGTAGTGAAATAAATAAATAAATCAGCACTGGGATCTATCCTCCAGGCTTACTGTAAAGGCACAGGATACCTAGAAGACCCATGAAATGTGGAACATTTCACGCTCTAACAAGATGCAGGATAGCTTTCAGTTAAGGTTGGAGTATGACTGCCAATTGAGTCGATCTCCACGCAGCGCTGAAGATCAGCACAAATCTGGCCGACGCAGCACAACCCCGAGCGCACAGCTGTCCGTGCCTTTGGCCTCGATGAGAGAAACAGGACATGGAGCCTGTTAGCACAAACACAAGAAGACGGCACAGCGACTTTGTTTTCGCTCTGCCGCGTTGTGACAAATGGGCCAGAAAAAAAAGTAATGCGTTTTAATATGAAGCAACTCGTTTATTTAGGCTTTGATGGGATCGACTGTGTGTCTGTTAACATCCCAAAGCCGCTCATTAACAGAAATGTTTTGTTTCCCTCAGCAGTGAGCTGTAATTAGAATGGCAAAACTGATATCCCCTTGTATCAGTCTGATTCCGGGGAACATGTGTGAGAGATTTGGGGGTGAAAGGAGAGCACTAATACAAAGCAGCTGTGTGGGGAAGATTCAGATGTTGACGGATAGGGCTGAGAGCAGCTACAACTCTCGCTTAAACCAGTGTGGCCAATAATAAACTGATAGAAGTTACATTCTTGGCCAGGGATTTCTCCGTGAGGCTCGTCCACGCAGACCAATGAAAGACGCAGGCTGCTGCTGCTGATAGGTGATGAATGTCTCCCTACCATGGATACATTTCCTGTTGGCATGCTTCACGTTATAAAACAGACAGAGAGCTTTCCCTCCAGTCGCTCACAGAGAAAGTATTAGTAGTGTACAGCGGTTTGGTGAGAGATCTTCTTCCACCGCATTATTCATGCATTTCTCATTGGCCCGCTAATTCCAGTTTGTGTAGTTTTGTGGTGCAGAAGTGTCAAATTTGACTTATTTGCAGGCCAAAGGTATAATCTACAACATCATGGGAGCAGGAGTGACTCATTCTTTATCTTGGTGTAGTTAATTTAAAGGATGACTCGCTTCTTGCCGCAGCTGTGACGGATTTTGAACTGAATTTCCTTTTTGGCGAAGCAGGGCGCTCACAGCGTTGCGTATACCCACCCGGCGCTGCCTGGGCTCAGGAGGCTGCTGATGGCTGCAGGAAGCTCCGACTTCAAGATGAACAAATAGGATGACATGGCTGAGGAGAGAGAGAGGAAAAAAGGCTCAGACATAAACAAAACAAAAAAAAACCCAGTCCACATTCATACCAGGCTACTGAATCAAAAACACAGAGGATGACTGTAGGCTGCCACAAACAATTCTAAAGTGCTGCGTGAGGATGATGTGCGTTTTCCTTTGCGAGGAAATGGCAGGGTGGGGCGGGGCGGGGCGGGGGGGTACCACTGCGCTGAGTTAATGCAAATGGGAGGGGCAGGCGGCTCAAGAGGATCACCAGCAAAGCCCCTCGGTGTGGAGGAGCAGACATTATGCAGGTCTTCCAACTGCTGGAGACGGCGAGCAGCAGCCAGGATGACGAAGTGTGAGGAGGAGGGGAGGGGGGCAGGAATTCTAACAATAATGATCTCTGACGCTAATCCAGGTACTTCTCCCCCTTCTCCACCTCACTAGGAAACAGGATACTTCCCTGTACGCTTAGATAGCCAATCAGAGAGAAGATCAGGGTCACTTAATGAAAGTCATACCAGCCCCTCAAACTCCAGCAGGAAAAAGTGGAGAGAGAGAGAGAGAAGGGAACATGTTTGGTCCGAAAAAGGGGATTCGGATGCAGTGTGTGGTCAGTCATAAAGGGAGATAGTGTTAGGGGATTTAGGCTCGTGAAGCCAGGCATAGCCAGAGTTAGCTGGGACCTTATTGCCCCGGGGCAGGTCTTGCACTCGCCGTTAAATAAGCCTAGCCATAATCCCTCAGATCCTGTATTTGTTTATAAAAGAAAATTCCTCCAATAACCCTCCAGCCCACACAGGCACAAGGACATTCTCTCTCTGAGAATAAACTACTGCCATTTATAAGCACTAAAATCTGTCAATACGAGGTTATTCTGAGGCAACAGTTGCTTTAGTGTATCGGCCAAAAAAAGTCTCGCCTGCAAAAGTTCATCCATCAATTTAAATAAACCGTGACAACGACGATGACCAAGAAAAAAAAAAAAGTCTTTTGTTTTTCAACCGCACGCATGAATAAAGACGCACTGACAGGGATCACACAGCAGGCATGATGCAATGGTTTAGTTTCATGCATTTGGTTACTGTGAGCACAACAACACTTCTGCGGGAGTTCCTGGTGGGATAATACTTACATCTCTAAACAATAAAGGCCCCTTGAGTGAAGAAAAGAGGATTGTTATTGGCCAAGTGGTAAGAAAACATGTTCGAATAATAAGCATGTATGTAAAGTTCGAGGAAAATTGAGGTTCGGTGTGTGGTCAGCAAATAGCGAGAGAGTGTGTTCAACATAAGACAGAGCCACTTTCATTTCATTAAGAGCGAGGGGAGAGGCAGGCTGTGAGAGCCCTGGGCTGGTCAGTAATTAAGGTCAATTGGCCCATCAGCCTTTGGCAGTGCAGATGAATGTTTACCCAGAGTGAGGCTAATTGCACTCTTATAAAAGGGGCCCGGGGTATAGACAGATGCATGCTGGAGTGCTGGCTCTCACACATACTGCCCCATGCTGGGAAAACCACAAACATACCAGAGGGCACGGCAATAATCCACTCAGCCGTGCCACTAATGACTGCAGAGGAGCTATCACCTCAGCTCTCGCCTGTCTGAGAAGCACAGTTTGTGGCTGAGGAATGAACAGAGATGGCACTAAGAGAGAGACAGAGGTAAGGGGGAGGGGAAAATAAAGGGAGGGGTCCCATTAGGTTACTCTGCTCACAGGGGCTGGGGAGTGGGTTTACCATCACCGATCGGTAAGAGAAGAAGTCATGTTTCAGGCCCAGGGGAGAGGGCTGAGAGGACAGCGGCTACAGGGTCAGAGGTTATCAGTGAGTCCAGATAATAGCCCGACAGGAGGGAGGACACCTCGGCACAGAGCTCTGAGCTCACCAGCAGGAGGCACTGTCTGCCTCCAGAATAAACTGTCCAGAGTCTGACCCTGCAGCACTCCTCACCCTCTTCACCACTCGGCTTCTATGAAAACCACAAATTCGGTTTATGTCCAACATGTCAGAAATAATGCATGTAACTGCACATTGAAATGGAGGCCGACTTACCACCAATATTTTGGATGAGAATAGCAATTCCAACCAGAACCTAAAAAGAATTTTGAAAAGGCTGTTATGGGGGAATGAGTTTCCTGCTCATGTTGGAAATGGAAGTGTGTGAACTTTTTGACTGAGCACTGCAGTCCAAAAGTCAACACTTACTTTTCCTGGTTTTTGCAAGGCTTTCCCTCCGAGGTCCTCGTATGAATTGATACCTAGAGTCAAACCAAAAAGGGTTACATGTTAAAAATGAATGGCAGGACGCCCCTAACATCACATAACAGGAATAGGGAGGGAATTAATAGGACAGAAATATGGCACAATACACACTTTTAGGCTCCAAATAAGTAATATAAGGTTATACAGAGCAATACAATTTTTTGTAATTATTATTTTTTTAATTACAAAAATGCTTTAAAAAAAGAGGTACATTGTTATATTTGTGGCCCAAAATTGTGCAGTTAGATTGTAAGTCCTGAAATGTAAACATTTTGGTTTAGATGTGCACACATTTGGGACCTCTTAGGCACTTCAATATCCTTCATCCCACTATGATCTCTACTTCCTTCATCTCCTTATGTTAAAAACATTATTTAAATATCACCTGATTTAGTGACAACTGGGGCACAATTTATAAATACAGTTAAAGAGGCAACACGGTCGTAAAACACACAACATACTGTATCTGCTAGCCGGCCCACACCCTGATTTAACCACGAGTAAAGGAAGAGGGGCAGTTTAGGGTGTGCAGTCTCAATAAAAGCCCCAGGATAAACCCACAGGAACGTGTTCTCTAAAGTTAGACAGTGTGCACATCATTAGTCTCTCACCTGTTTGGTCACAAAGCTTTAGCAGGAGATGTATGGAGTATGCTGCCAGGCTGGACACCAGGAGCAACAGGATACTAGTAGGGAAAGGGAGATGGAGCATAAATTACTTTATGTAAAGTAATATTTATGTAAAATGTATTTAAAAAGCAGTCAGATATTTAAAAAGCGAGAGAAAAAGTGAGAGAACTCTTACCAAAAACCAACTATTCCAGTGCTGGCCATTGCATAAGCTAGTCCCAGTATGCCGCTGCCCATGATTGCATTCATCAGGTTGAACACAGAGGAGGCGAGGGAGGCTCCTTTGGCTCTGGTTTGCGCTGTTGCCTGCACACAGATGTAAACACAATGATGAAGAGGCAAAGTTGTGAACATAAAGACAAATGATCAGCAGAAGAAATGTGATTATTTTCGTAAGAGCCTTAGGAGAAACGCTCATGACAGTATTAAGAACAACTGGCTGGCCCTGATGATGGATGTCATAAAACAACACTGCAGTGGCATGTAGGATCAGGGAATGGAAATGGGAATGGATGGGGTGGGATTTGAGCTGTTGGCTGTGGGACAGCTGCCTGAGCTCAGGATAAGGGGAGCTGCCCAAACTGCTTGACCTCTGTAATGGGGGATATCCTGGACAGAACGAGTGGCAACTCTGGTGTCAGTGTCACAACAAGCTTGGATTGACCTGCAGGCTGCTGAATCTGATTCACCGTGTTACAGTACTGAAAGACAGGAAGTAAACTCTGACACCAGATGAATGGCAATGTAGACTGGTAGCAGCGTACAATAAAAAATGCTGCAAATGAAACTACACAGATATGAAAATACTAAAAATGTGTCCAGGTAAAACGATGTAATGTGACAAAAACAAACTCATGAGTGCATACAGATGGATTATTAACCAGCTTCTCCATGTTTAGGGTCGCATTTAGAGAAAGCAAACCCCAGCACATATGGTTTCTAATTCAGCACAGTGGTGAGCAAAACAACAAGGACAAATCACTTGTCATCTTATCATTTTTTCTGTTTTATGTCTAGTGTTTGGAGTTTGACTGGTGAGTGGTAATTAATCTAGATAAAATGGTCATGATAGTTGCTTAAGATGTGTGGTACGTATTTGAACCATGTGTGGCTGAACTAAATACACTATCACGACATGACACAGTGGCATTAATTTAAATAAATGGCTGTTTCTACCATCACCTTTGACTTGGGGTCAGATCACACACTGCAACTAATGAATCCTACAAAAACATCACATAGATCCAAATTTCTCTGCATCTTTAGAATATCTGCTAAGGTTTTCCAAAGAACATAATCCACCCAAAAACCAATTTGCATATAGAAACCAACAATTTGCAGTCAAACTCTGAAGCTACTATACATGGTGAATGATGGAACTGCTAATTAACACTAACAGCATCCACAATGACACCCACAATAAAAAACTCTGCACTCCCAGAACCAAACACTGGTGTTAAGTTATTAGACCAACTCCAAAATGTATAATAGTCATGATGCATCAGTAACACATTTTTTGAATGGGATAACTACCACTGAGGACACCGTGCTTGTTGCTGCTGTATCGTTAGTGAGAATTTAGAGATTTTACCAACCTAAAGACTTTGTTTTCTACAAGTAAAGAAAAACTACACATATTGGTCTGACTCTGGTAGTCCACAAGGTTACCGTTTAAATGTGTCTGTTTCTCTCAAATTACTAAAATAAATTTAAATAAAATGAAGGAATTTAATGCTTAGCCTTTGAAGAGCTTGTGGTGTTTTAATTATTCTAATTATTTATTCATATTTAATTAAACTATGTATTTTATCTTTAGCATGTTTTATTTTATTTTTTATCTTTGCCTGTAAAGCACTTTAAATAACGTCTGTGTATGACGAGGTGCTCTGTTAAAAAAAAAAAAGCTTGCTAAAGACACTATTACATATTAAAATTTAAGAAGCTGGAATCAGTGAATTTTGAATTTCGTTTCTTAAAAAATACTACAACCAATTAATCACTTCAGTCACAAAACAGTGGCTGAGCTGTTGCAGCTGTTGCAAGCTGCATTTTATTTTATTTTTTTCAAAACTAATTGAAATGTGAATACGTGCTTAGAAGAATAACTTATGCCATAGCGTAGTTTCTGTTCTAGGCTGGACTTTAACTCCAAGTGCTGACAGAAGCAAAAAACAGGAACCTGAAAATGTGAAGTTCAGAACAAGCATGTGATGTCTGTCCGTAGACATTCTGATCAAACAGTTTAACAAGCTTACAGAAAATGTACATGTTCACAGTGTCCTAGCTGTGTTTTAGTACTTACATTCCTTAACAAAGCTGTCGTCTCGTCGCCTTCAGTGTCCCCGGCAATTTGTTGACTATAAAAGTCTGTGCTTTCATTGTTACTGTTGCTCATTGTGAAAAACGAAAAGGCACAAAAAAAAACTTCACAAAACAAACTGTCAGACTCACAAAAACTGCAGTTAGCGTGAAAGCAGCAGAGCTATGAAACCATCTTCTGTTAAAAGACTGTAAAACTCTCCTCTTATCAACCTGTCAGCTGCTCTCTGTTGTTGTTGATCATCCCGTCATGTGCCTCTCGCTTCCGTCGCATTTATCAACGTCAGCAAATAACGGTCCAATCAAAAATCGACTTTCCGCTCGATTGTCCAATCAGCTACCGGCTCTGGTCCACCACCGATGACGCAGTTCAAGCATGCCGGTGGACGGAGGATGTTGAGGTGAGCTCTCTGAATGTGAGTTTTCTCGACATTAGCAGCACATTTACTGTTTGTTAGAGTCATAAGCTGTCTTGTGTACACTTGTTTTGCAGCTACGATGTGTGTGTTCACTTTTTTGGCCAGTAACAGCAGCGCTTTTGTTTTTACAGGCTCCTCACTAGGATCTTTGCAGCTGTACAAACTCCCAGCAGTCTGAAACCAGCCGCAGTGCACCGGAGCTTCTGGTCTGAAGCCCGTCCCGGGTTTGCTCTGAAGCCCATAATGGAGCCTAAACTGTACCGGCCGCCACTGGAGGTCAGGGGAATGACCTCTCTGGACAAAGAGGCCTTCACACAGAACATCACAGTCCCAGCTCTACGGGTGCCCACGAGGGTCCTGAATAAAGTAGTAAAGAGTCTGAAGAAGTCGACCATCCAGCGCCCAGGGGTGCCCAGAGTGGTTCAAGACAAAGAGGAGAGCAGTGACTTTCGTTTAGTCCTGTTGGACCCTCACAAAGTGTCCTCGCCGAGCTCCTTCAGCGAGGCCGAAGCGGAGGCTCTGAGGTCGTTCAGCGTCGCCGAGGAGCTGCACTACTACGAGCTGAGGCTGACCTACGACAACCTGAAGAGTGAAGAGGTGCTGGAGGCCGTGCTGCCTCAAGGGCAGGACGTGACCTCTGCGTTCAGCCGGGTGGGACACATCGCACACATGAACCTGAGGGACCACCAGCTCCCGTACAGGAACCTCATAGGTACCAGAGAAAGATTTACATCCAAAACAACACAGATGGTGACTAATTCAAGTGTCAACAGCTTCAGTTCATCTTAGCAGCCTACCAATTATTTTTTCTCTCATTTGGTGTTTTGACAAAGATCATTACCTGCTTTAGGCTCTAGTGACATGAAGGACCAAACATGTAATTCACATACTTTTCATAATTATCAGAGTAATGATTAGAAAGGACTCGTCATATCTCACCACCTCAGATTCTTCAGCTTTTTTTTTGTCAAAGTTTGAGTCACAAGTTTTTTTACTGTGTTTGCAGTAAGTAGCTGCATTCAAATAAGACAGTCGATGTTAAACGAGGTCAGCTACATGCAAAATTGAAGCATTTACACATTTCCATGACCTATGACCAAACCTGACCTTCTTGTTGTGTTTGTGTTTTCTGCAGACTTTTCCCTTTTTGGAAAATATTTTCATCCACAGTTTATATCTATGTTAGTAACCACCCTCTAAGATGAAACTGACAGTTTGAAGTGACATTTAGGGAAAGGCTGGACAAGCAGCTGGGCAAAATGAGCAGCTATCCCAGGACTTAGAGGCCCAGAAGATATTTACAGTGTCTCACCTGATCTGCTTCAGGATATGCAGCTTATAAGCAAATTATTACCAGCAATGATCAGGTTCTTAACTAAATGCATTCATGCTTTAAAATGCTTTCTTTACATATTCTAAAAAAACAGTTATACACATTACATTGTGTCTAAACATTCATGGCGACTATTCCTTGATAACTTTGTGTTTATCTTGGTAAGAACAGTCAGGCAGTTATTTTGGGCTAACAAGATCAGGTTCCTATCTGAATGAATAGGGGAGAGAGCCGTAAATGCAGTTTTAATGGCCACTGGGACATAAAGAGCTGAATGTATAGAAGCACAACTCAAATCTGATTAAGAAAAAAAACAAAAAACACTTAAAGCGTTGGTGACGTCTCTGCAAAATAAAGATTACAATCATGTTTCCCCTGCAGGTTATACTTCTACTTACATGATTAGATTGATGTTTTCTGGTTCGGCTGTTACAAAGATAATTGACAGATTTTTCCATTTCTTTACTGAAACAGTTGATGTATAGAGTATTTTATCACAGTTATCAGGGCAATGAAGTCACATTCAGTGCTGTTATATCTCTGCTGCTTCTGCTGTAGGTCAGGTGATCATGGACAAAAATCCTGGTGTCACTTGTGTGGTCAATAAGATGAACATAATCGACTCCACTTACCGCAACTTCAAGATGGAGGTGCTGGCTGGAGAGGAGAACATGGTCGCCAAAGTATGTGCAGTCAGTTTATGTTAATGATGCCAGCATATGTCTGTGTAGATTCTCAGACATCATAGTCTTTCTTAAATATTGTATATTCAGAACATTGACAGATTGTTGTGTCATTTTATTTGCAGGTGAAGGAAAACGGGGTGACGTACGAGTTTGATTTCTCTCGTGTGTATTGGAACCCTCGGCTGAGCACGGAGCACCAGCGAGTGGTGCAGCTCATCAAGCGCGGTGACGCTGTGTTCGACGTGTTCGCTGGCGTGGGGCCCTTCGCCATCCCAGCTGCCCGCCTGGGTGCCAACGTGTTAGCCAACGATCTCAACCCAGAGTCCTACCGGTGGCTGCAGCACAACTGCAAACTCAACAAGGTGGAGAGCAAAGTGAGAAGCTTCAACCTGGACGGCAGAGCGTTCATTCAGGGACCTTTGAAGCAGGAGCTGCCTGCGCTGCTGAAAGGAGAAGCCAGTGTTCATGTGGTGATGAACCTGCCTGCTTTAGCTCTGGAGTTCCTGGATGCATTCAGAGGCCTCCTGCACCAGGAGCCTCCCTGCGAGGAGAACCTACCGACTGTTTACTGCTACGGCTTCTCCAAAGACGACGACCCTGACACAGACGTGGTGCAGAGGGCTTCTCGCAGCCTCGGATTCCCTCTGGAGAACAGATGCTCTGTGCATTTCGTGCGTAACGTAGCACCCAACAAAGATATGATGTGTGTAAGATTCACGCTACCGAAGGAGGTCCTCTTCTGCAGTGATGATGAACACACAGGTGAGGAATCCAACAACAAACTGATAACGACTGTATGTAAACCGAACAAAGAAATGAAACATGAAAAGTCATAGCATTTATAAGAGAAGGCTGCAGAGCCACACAGAGGATGAAAGGTCTATGAATTAAGCATCAACCTCCACATTCCCTGTTTGTTAATTTTTTGTATTTATTAAAACAGGAATTAAGCTCCAGGTCAAGCACGTTTGTTTTTTAATATGAAACCATTTTCTAAATCTTAATTACAATTTTAAATGACCACCTAACGTCATTATGGTTTGCTCCATGGTGAGAATTGTACCTTTTATATTTGTGTGCAAAAGGAGAATTTCTGTAAGTATTGTTTACAAATTAAACAAGCCAATGATCAATAATCAAGGAGAAAATTAAAGTCTTTCTATTAAAATCTTGCAAACAAACCAACAAAAAACTTAGTTAAAATGCCTTTGTTTAAGTTTCACGTAATTTTAATATGTTTAATTAATAGAGAGATTAATGCTGATCGTCTATTTGTGATGACATGTGACTGATCAGATGGTGCTGTTGGCAGAACATTGCTCAACATGGAGCTACTACAGATAGAGAGGCAGCTGCATAAGAGTAAAACTAGTCCAATGTTAGATTAATTTATTGGGAATCGTTTAAAAAACAAAAGAAAAATGTTGGAAAATTGCAGAATATTGGATCAGAGAACCGGCCAGGTCTTTAAACTGTTAATCCCTAAGTGTCAAAGTAAAGATAATTACAAAAGAAACGGACATAATTGCAAAATTGTTTTTGTTTTTTTGGCAATTTCAATGAATTTTTCAGAATGTTTGGAACATTTGGTTTATATAACTTAGGGAAGCATGATGTTTGTCACTGAGATCATATGTAGAATATTCATGTTTTCACTGCTATGTTGCGTTTTTGTGCATTTTGCTTTATAATTTTATAATATTTTCTCTGATTAGTTGTATTTTGTGTCCACAGAGCCATCAGAGGAACCAGCCCCAAAGAGACAGAAGTGTGAAGAAAGTACACATTCAACGTAATAATCGTATCGACCGGCACTGTGGGGAGTGCAAGAAACATTTAAGTTGACAGTTTTTGTTTTTTTTAACCTGTCATTTAATATCTTATTACAGATGTTGTTGCATCATGTCATAAGAAGTCTTGACTCGGCTTCAGCTTGATGAACTAATTCCTTGTGTTCACACCCAAATGTTAGAATTATTATTTTTACTAAATGCTGAGTTGGTTCATTTTTAAATAAATCCGGACAAACACTCAGTGTTAATTTTCATTTATTTACAAATAAAAGTAACGGAAAATATAAAAAAGTATGAGCAGTGATGTGTGGGAGCACTACCCACCACAGCAGCACCGTGGTAGCAGTGCTGTATTTATAGTCCATTCAGTCTGACTCTGGTCGGGTTCAGCCTTTCGTAGGGAACAGCCCGCTGAAAGCATCCTGGACGGCTCGATAACACGCCAGAGCCGAGGTGTATCCTCCAGCTGTGTCCTGAGGCATGGCAGCCCGCACGTGGTTCAGATACCTGAGAACACACAGAAGGCTTTGCTCAGAAACAGCGCTGAGATATTTAGTAAATAATTTGCCTGACTGGCAGCCTGAGAGCTGGTTTTAAAAGTGGATCCTGTGAGTGTAACTTGAGTTTAAGTTTATTCTGCATTAAATCCACACTTGAGGTAATTTTTTCTGGCTCTTCGGGACCCTTTGGCCCTTTGATGAGATCAACAAAGACAGACGTACCCAAACACTAACAGTGGAACACCTTGTGACTAAAAGCCTCTCCAACATGGCTCTATTAAAGTATTATAGGTGTCTTTTATTTTTTAAGTGCTTACAGATGTATCCTGCCAAAGCCCCTTTTCGGGTTCTTAAGCAAAGCCAAAAGTCACTGTTTATTTTCACATTCGTGCGCAGACGGAAAAACAGTGGAGCTGTTAATTCAGTCTCCACATCTTGTCCCCGCCGTCATAGCTGCCCCTCCACTTATGTGTGTGTTGGGGGGGTTTGACCCGTGTCCCTACCCGCTCTAATCCTTTCTCAAGCGTTTTTGTGCATTCAGAAAGTGGTCTGTACTGCTTTCTTGTCGTTTCTTACTACAAAGCTAAAAAAGCAAAGTCCTCCAGCAACTGAGACAACACCCCCCTCCCCACTCCCCAACCCTCTCCCACTCCTGCCATAGTCCTGGCAGAGAGGTCTAAAGCCCTCACACGAGTCTGGCTTTGTGGCCCCTGTTCCTGTGAGCTGGGGAAACTTCAAAGTGAAATGGGAATCAAGAGCACAGACAGCACTCTGTGATTTCTATGCCCATTCAAGCTGCTTTACAGAGTAACCCAACACCTGTGGGGAGGCTCAGAGAGACTGACGGAGTTGTGGTGTACGTGAATAAGAGATGGATAACGGAGAGAAAGGTGTCGGCGAGACTACATGCTGAATAGATCATATTTTGCTTTGGTGTTTTATGATTCTACGAGGTGCTTTAGTGGTTTCTTTGTAACTCAATAAAACCTTCAGTGAAAATAAAGTTGAAACATACTTGCTAGCATGTCTCTGATATAAACGCGTAAAGTCAAACGTTCACCAACGCACCACCAGATCTCGCAAGCAAGATAGGGAAGCACGAAATGTCAATCGGGCACAAAAGCCCTCTCATCACCCACTAGAGAAACAACACACAAGTTCAAAACAGGAGGCCCAGTGATTAATAATAACTTCATTAGGCCCAAGCTGCTGTAGCCTGTCCTTCAGAGCACTTGAGGGAGGTCTTCTCATATGGCTTCCTGCATCAGATGAGTGCTATCTATTGATTATATTGTACTGGGCCTTTTTAATGGTGAAAAAAGTGGGCTATTTACAGCCTGGCTAAGTCTGCTCTTCCTGCTAATCTAATCCCCAAGCTACTCATGTGGTCATTCCTTCCAAGAAAGCTGAGAGCTCTGTGTAACTTTATACCTGCCTGCCCCTAAGGAGAGAGAGAGCAAGAGAGCAAAAAGAGAACATGAAGGAGAGGGAGGAAGAGGGTGCACGATGGAGCTGTGGGGGTTGGGAGGCAGAAAGAGCAAAGGAGGATATGAGGTGAAATCACCTTTGGGTATCATCATCACAAACCCTCTTCTCTTAAACCAACCCTGTCTGCCCTCCGCTCACCCCTAACACCCGGGGTTATTTCAGTTCTGCTCCATTAACTCGGAAGGCTATATTCGCATCTTCCCATAAAGGACAGCAGCATACGTGTACGTACACATGTCCGGCGCTGGATGCTCTAAACTCGACTCTTTTCGCGTGACTGTACATGAAAACGCTGACAAATTCAGAAAGGACTGACAACACCTAAGACATGCAACGACAAGAAACGCATTAAAAATGTGCTGCCCACTGAAGAACAGGCCGCCTCTTTACAGCGCCTTCAATCATAAGGTGAAACACAACACACACACACACACACACACACTCGATGAAACAGACGCTTCGATCCCCTCTGACACTACTGTTTCACTGCGTGCACTAACGCTCTCCCACCCCACCAGCCCCCCGTCCCCTCTTTCTCCCTTTCTCTCCGAGGACTGGACTGCCTTTTGTTCGCGGGGCACTGAAACCCAAGCCGTTTCGGCCGGTAACATCTTTCACTCTCCGGGCCCCACTGGAGCATTAGCTGCAACACGATATGGGTCTTTTCAAAGCTTCGTATTATTGGGTAAATATGGGTCACTTTGGACCGGCCCATTATGTCGCTTAGGGGGAGCGGGAAAAGATGAGTGCAGGTGATGAAGACAACTGAATGACACAGTGTGACACACCGTGCGTGTCAGACTGCAGTCGCCACAAGGGAATATGACAGGGAGTTTGCAATAAGTCGGTCTCACACTCAAAGTCGTCTTCCTTTGAAATAAACAACACTGTGGCATTCCTTTGGAAAGCATAATAGGTGATAAAGTGCTTGTGTTATTTTTGAATCCCTTATTCTTACCATCTGCTATTACCCTTTGCTTTCAAATAGCAGACATGTGCAGTTGGATCAAAACTGTTCAGAGCTAACAGCGTTTTTCCACTTAGGTCTGGAACTCTGAATACCTGGGCAATGTCTCCTGCTAATGCTAATAACGCTCAGAGATTTTCCTGACGGGACCCCAAAAGTATTCCCCTACTCCTGCGGCCTGGAAAACGCCGCAGAGCCCCATCTCTAATTCAAAGTGAAAAGATAAGTGGCGAAATGTTCCGGCGAGTTCTGCGTGATTTCCAGCTGAGAATGTGTGGCTCCTCTTTGTGTATGGATCGGCATTGTTGCTGCGGACTGAAGGGTGTTTGGGTTCTTCAGGGAAAAAGCTGCAAGGTTGGGACTCTGGAGGGAAAACAGCAGATACCAGACAGAGGTGCAGGCTGCGTTGGGCCTCTTGTCTAGACTCCATGTGTTGGCTAGAATTGGATTAAGAAGGGCTGTGGAAGCCCGGGCTTGATGGAAAAGAAAAGAGGCCGGTAATGCTACAGCGGCTATTTCAGCAAGCCGACACTTAATCAACATACAAACCACAGGGCAGGCGCACAGGACAGTGGAATCAGGCTTAAACAATGCTTGCAGCAGAACTACTGCGTGTGTTTGGCTGCGTTCGTACATGAAGGCTTTACATTCACCACACAGCAAGTTCAAACAAGCTAGACTAGCTCTTCAGGCACTTGCTATATGAACGGGATTTTCTGAGGAAATCCATAAATTCTCAAGTCCAGCAGCTTCTTTCAGTCTCAGCACTGACCTGAGACCAGGCCTCAGCCCGGCACCTGCCTGCTTTCACAGCACCCTCACTGATCCAGGGTCAGCATTTGTTTTTGCAGCACAAAAGATCAGAGGCTTTCCGGTTTTGGCCCGTCGTCAGCGTGATTCGTGACCCGAACAGGGTACGGTGACTTTCAAGCTGTTTTGAAGATAAACTCAGTATTCAGTCGAATCTGCACTGGAAGGAAATAAATGACGTCTCCGATCAATAAAGCCTACCCTTTCTTGCTCCACAAGGACTGAAGCCTCATTAGCTATGTTTATTAAAGCAAAGTAGCTTAGCCCGGTGTGTTGAATGCACAAAGAGGGCAGCGGGCGAGCACGGGGCAGGCTATATCTGAACGGAGGCTCCCCATACTTTTAAAAGGCCAGTCATGAGCCTGCAGGATGACAGTGTGGATGTCCGGAAGTCTTCCTTTAGCGCTCTGCTCCAGCAGCAATTGAGGATTCCTGGCCTGGGAATGATGGGAGGTGGAGGGGGGGGTACACAGCCACACACCTGCCAGATGATTTGTCATTATAGAGGGGTCAGCACTCAGCTGTCACCCCCTAATCACCCATCCTACCCCTCAAGTCACCCCCCCTTCACCCACTAAACTCCACTCCAGTCCTCCCAAAACACCCCCTGCATTCCTCAGGCAGCTCCGGTTTCACTCACAGCACTGCTACTCCATCTGCCCCTCCTTCCTACACTCTGCCCTGAGAGAAAATGTACCCCTGTGAGAGACACAGCACACTGAGCGCATTGTGTGGATGTGCGTTGTGTGCTTATGCCCCCCCATGTGTGTGTCTACACAATTCACATGTGTGCGCATACATGTTTATCTAAGGCCAGGGCTGTTTGTATCGATACCGAAGGCGAACGGACGAAGCAGAATTTCACCAGCAGAGAATGTGTGAATTGGTCCAGGCGGCGGTCCAGAAACAAAACCCCCGCAGACAAGCCAAACACGGAGAACTCTCACAGGTATACTATATCTGTCAACAGCAGTCTTTCATCACTACGGGTCACAGGTCACACTCTTTTCCATTGAACGTAGCTTCCTCTGGGACATGCAAGTGTGTGAGACAGATCCTCAGCCATTAGCCTACCCACTGTCCACCAGATTATCTCAAGTTGTACTCTGTGAGTGCGTCTGAGGGAGGCTCAGTGTGGTTACATCATATCCTCACGAGCCTACAAACCCCTTATCTATTATCATGTGCCTTATCGTCACCACTGATATGCCCAGTCTGCCCCTCTGCATCCTAACACAGAGGAGAGGGAAGCGAGTTATCGCTAACACTTACTTACTTAAGGGGAGAACATGTTCAAAGTGTTAACAGAAGCTTTGGGTGACACTTGACATTAACGCTTATAGAAATGCATGCCCATGTGGAGTGACTGACAATCTCTAAGATGCCCTCAAGAGGGCAGCTAGTTGGTGTCAGTCATAAATGAGAGGTACGCTTGTGTTGCCTCTGAAAAACAACCGTGTGGACGTGCCCATGATAAAGGCGTATTGTGCAACTTGTGCCCAAATTTAACTTCACTTCCTGGTCCAAGCATCACCTGTCACTACTCATCCAGAGCTTTTGTGTCTTGGTCCTGCACCTCCTTCGTCTCGCCTGCTGGGGGCAGTAGAGGCTGGCTGACTGGGCCACTGGCCTCACACCTAATGGCAGCAGCTGTGGGACATGCAGAGCTGCCACACACCCCTAAAACCACCTGAAACACAGAGCCTCTTATTTTTTTCGTCTCCTGAGCTGTCATTTGATAA